GAGCAAGACGCGTTTCTGACTCATACTGTTTCCGAAATCAAGGTTCATTGGAGTGAATTTTGGATAGAACCAATCTAAACAAAGTAAATTGAGGTCAGCTGGCACTATATAATATACCCCAGTAAATGACGAGTCTCGGAGGTGACTTTACATTCCAACTGTTTTAACAGACGAAGGTAATTATCACATGCTGTACGAGGCTTCTGTGTTGTGTGCTGCAGGCTTGGGCTGCCCGATTTGGTCCAATTTTTGCGTGAGTGGATGGTGACATCAGATGCGGTATCGATTTGCAATCTACACAAATGACCGTTAATATTAAGAGTAATAAATTTCCTCTCACCTGGTGATGAGCTTTGGCAGGAAGATATTAGGCTCAATGCATTGGTACCGGATCTAGGAACAGACTTCTTAGCACTTTTGAATCGGTTCGGCTTTTTCTTTAGGCGAAAACCATCTTTATGACCGATGACTTTACACTTCTTGCATTGATGTTGCCCAAATGGGCAGTTCCGTACATAGTGCCATGAGTCACAGTGCCAGCAAGCAGCATGGGGATTCATTTTTGACTTTTGGGCAGAGCTGGAGTGGGATGAACTGGGTGTAACATGGGCAGATTTATTCTGATTAGGTGGCTGCTGTACCAAATGTACTTCAGATCGGCTAGAACTACCACTCTGCACTAAATCTGAGTCTCGTTGTAGGTTAGTGAGACGTTGGTACTCATTAGCCATGTCATTAAGCCTGAGCTTCAGATCTTGCTCCAACCGACATAGTAGCGTTGTTCTAATGTCACTGAACTTATGCTGTGGAGATGGCATGACAAACTTATTTTGTAAACAGTTTTTGATACTATTAGTATTTATTTTGTTAATTTTCACAGCCTGTACATTCACTATGAAATTGTTGTACATTTTGTTTAAGCGTATGTCCTTGAATATATCAGGCGCACACGTTGCTACACATTTCCGTTCATTGTACACATACCACGGCACTCACTGCCGGATCCTATCAAATACACTTTGTACTCACATCTCATGTTCTCAATCGTTCATTAGCACGCTATCTGGATTCTAATACGTATATTGTCTACGTTTATAGACTGCAGTCATACTTGTATGCTACTCTACGGATAATTACACCATTTGGATTACTAACATTTCTATAATTGTGGATTTATGGTACCAATCACAACCGAACACGCACAAGCAGCAGTATAAAGTAACGTTCTTACATATTTATTGTGTTTATTATATTTAACTGATATATTTCAATATACATCTATTTGTATTCAATAAGTTCGTTAATATTTTGAAATAATATATTGATTGGTCTACCACAATTATTTGGTGAGCCCACGTTTATGTTATTTATTGTACTATTATAATTTTTCATTAACATTTTCGGCTTACACGTTTCGTTTCTATCAAACACGGTTTTACCTACACTAAACTACTGACAATGGATTCTCCTCAAGCGAATATATTTACCACATCACAATCAGATGATAAGGTTCTAAGTTCCATGAATGCTATCTCAGATCTTGAGCTTTCTGCATTTGTTATTAGTAATCTCAGGATATGGTTCTGCCGAATCGAAGCTCCATTCACAGCCAGAAATATAAGAGCACAAACGACGAAATACGCATATGTTGTTAGCGCACTACCCTTAGACATAGCCCCCCAAGTGGAAAACTTGATTGCACATGTACCTGAGAATGATCCATATGACAAAATTAAAGCTGCTTTAATTCAGAGAACTTCAGCATCCGACGAAAAAAGGTTACAAAAACTGTTAACGTCCTGTGAATTGGGAGACAAAAAACCATTCCAATTATTAAGATACATCAAAGAGCTGTCCGGACCGTATAAATTAGACGAGAACTTACTCAAACAACTTTGGTTCCAACGGCTACCTCACAACGTAAGACAGATTCTCACGGTAATTAACTCAGCCGACATGGCCGACAAAATAACGGAAATCTATACAGACAGCCAAGTAGTTAACTCTGTACAAACCACCAGCACAGATAATATGTGTAATGTTCTTAATCTTCAACAACAGATGACGCAACTTACAAACCAGATAGAAAAGTTACGAGCCTCTGTAGCAGTGATTAGCACTAAACCAACTGCACCTTTCTCTAGAAGAAGGTCATGCTCCCGACATCGCTCCAAGTCTCCAAAAAGGTCAACTTGTATTTGTTGGTATCACCAGAAGTATGGTGAGAAAGCTCGATGCTGCTCAGAACCGTTCACCTTCCCTGCAAACAGTCAAGAGATACAGGGAAACTAGCCTGCCAGACAGTGATGGCGGCGACTGCTTCTGGCCACGCTGCAAGTCGTCTCTTTCACAGCAAGGACAGGATTTCAGGCTCAGACTTCTTAGTCGATACAGGAGCCGAAATAAGCATGATCCCTCTTCAGCTCTCGCGACGGCAGCACACCACGAACAGTAAGATAACACTTCAGGCAGCAAACGAAACCATCATCAAAACTTATGTAGAACAGTCTCTAATACTTAAGTTATGTTATTTGCGATGCCATCAACCGATAGAGCTGTGGTTCCATTAGATAAGCTGGGTTGTGTGGACGGGTAAATCTTTATATCTGTGAACATCTGTATCAGTTTCGGCTGCTGCTTGAAGTAACAATTCAAGTTTGGCAGAATCCATGTTTCCAAAACTACCGTCGCCAATTGTAACGTACGTCACTAGTTACGCTTGGAGCTATTACGGGTTGACCCTAGTCGGCTAACCCGAACAAAACAACGAACCAGGTAGGCTACCTTGATTCGAAAACGGCAAAACAGAAGTCTTGATAAGCGTAGAAAGTATTTTCTACAAACACCCAACAAACACAATACAATCAAGCACACAACTCTCGTTTATTTATACATCATAGAAACGTCCTTGGGACAGTCACAAAAACAGCACACTAAATAGACAGAAGCCAATCACAGCCAAGGATTTTCCCGGTGGGAAATGCGACCTCAAGGTCAACTGATCAGTCAATGAAATAAATCCAAAATAGGGATATTTATCAAGCGAGTTCTGGGGATCTAGCATTCCCATCAACACAAAATAATGAATGCATGTCAGATGCATATTTATCATCCAGCACTTTAGAAATTGATTACATCTGCTGATCTTTCTATATGACAGGGGAAATAGGCCTCATTTTAGCCAGTCTGTCTTCATAAGCCAGCTTTAGGACTGCGTGCATCTGCTCAGCTGCTGTTCTTGTGACACTTTCCAACAGATTGCTGTCCTTTTTTCTGGGAGAATCTGGTTTTTTGTATGCAACTGTCAAGTTTAGGAGGAACAGAAACTGTATACAAAGTCAAAAATATTCTGTTACCAAGGAGGCTACAAGCTGTGTGTACTGAACAAAGGACTCTAAAACCGTCGCTTGGTAATGAACGGTATTTTCTCAGTCTTCATTTTTTATCGCACTAGATATATTGATGTAGTCAGAATATAATAAAACCAATGAAGACAAAAAATTAGGACATAAAAGGAACAATGTATTTCGTATCTTAATAATCTCGGCTTTCACCCCTAAATCTCTCTGGCATTATATTAAGTAAAAAGTTTGCTAGCACATCTTACACTATAACAACCAGGAAAACCTGCAGAGGTATGAGCCCAGAGGTTAATAGTGGGTCGAAAATTCCAGTCTCGTGCAATAAGGTTGTGAAAAACTCAAACAGTCACTTGATAGCATACCTCATATTAGTGTCCATACTTCGGATCACTCAACACAAACACCATTAGGTCTAAAACAGAGGAAGCAAAACATCACTTCTCCGAATTCTATTCTTAAAAAGACCAATAGGCTAGTTAAGAATAGGAGAAAAAGGCGTCCCAAGGCTCAGTCGACACAGTATGTCGTCCAGAAACCGCATAACGATGACTGTTTCGTCTGCTTATTGCCAGTCAAAATCAGTGATTCTGTTTTTGAATGCAATTTCTGTAGTACATGAGTGGATTGTCACTGCGACAATACACTACCTAAAGAGTATATCTGCCCGTGGTTCTGGTATATCCGCCGACGGTGTAGAGCATCTGAGGCATTGGCGAAGCCACAGGCCCCACTAGAAATCAGCTCAAAAGTCCCAGCCGACAAACCAAAATCGCCTGACACTAAACTAGTAAAACAGGTGACCAAGGCAACCAAAACCGCAACTAACACACAGACAAAGCTACCGGTTGTTAATAATCCCCCAGTATCTGTTAACAATACGGAACAGTTGTTGAATGTGAAGAAGGGGAATGGTAACACCGCAAATCACAGGCGGCTATCGTTCAAGGACAGAGACGATAGAATAAATTCACCTATTTTATTTAATGTCCCAGTATCGGAAAGAAGCTCGAAGGAAGCGCGAACTCTGAAAGTGGTAACTTTTTTTCACGAGGTATAGTGTTTTTCTGAAATTTATCATTCGTAGGGTATTACACTGATTTAGTAGAATTTATCTATTGTACCCGGTGCACTTTGCTTCTAGAAAGCAAACCTTCTAAGTTTTTAATCAGTTAATACATACTTGTCGTTTGATAACGATTTTAACTTCTGAATACACTAGTTTAAGCCTACTTACAGTGACTCTTACACTTCATAACTGAACCTCTTATCTTTAAAATCCGCCACTGATTTTTAGTATTAACGCAGTTATTACACAATAAGTTATACCCTTAGATATTTGAGTTACCTAGACAAGCAATTATCCCACCCAATTTTCCATTATGACAAATAATTCCAGTAAAAGAGAAATGTCTCCAACTTCTAAACCACCCAAAAGATCAAAATCTGCAAACCCTATGTCAGATGAATCTTCACTAAGTATTCCAATAGTAAAACTCGTAGATATAGGAGATACTATACCCAAATATGGCGAAACTTCTACACAGAAAAAACTTCACCATAATCTTGTATGGCCTAAATCAGGAAATTCACAAACCAAGGAGTTGAATGCTCCATCCGTAACCGTGAATAGTAGTAATAACCATGGCAGCGAGATACGACAGTTACAAAACTCACTTGCCCAAATTAACGATAAGCTTAACCTGTTAGCACCCCTCATGCACCTATGGGCCCCGAATAATGATAGGAACCTAGAAGAATTAGCCAAAGCGGAATATATCCTCGATTTTGTAGCTGAGGAAGTTACGAAAAGAATAATGTCTTCCTGCAATGCGATAGCTTATAACCTCCCCGACCACACATCCTTGAATTCGCTAAAGGAAACCTGTCTAAAAGCGTGTGATATGACAAACGTCAGCTGTCACGTCACTCGCCTCAGAAAAAAATCGGACAAATCAACTTGCCCTCTCCTTTTCAAATTCGACTGCTGCAACGACGCCAAACAATTTATCCGTTTGAGCAAAAATATTAGCTCATCAACCTTATATAAAGAAGTAAAGGTTACCCCGGATCTAACGCCTTGTCAACGTCGTGTAAAAACAAGAGAGGCGACTAGATCACATAACGGTGAGACAGCAGACAATCTACAGAAAATAACCCTCAATGTCATGAAAGTAAATAAACAAGTAAACCGCGATGTAGATCTTGATAAGCCTGTGGACTGTAAACCTTCTAACAAAGTACAGATGCCCTCTGTCACCAAGAAATCGAACGACCATTGCAGTTCTAATCCCAGCTGTTCGAACGTTAACTTGACTGAAAATGTCCCAAAAAACAACACTGTTCCAGCTAAAACTAATAAAATTAAGAATCCATCCCCAAAATATATTGCACGAGAGAATACGATAGAAACTGACGTGTTTTTGAAAAACACGTCCAGGGGACCAAAACATTCTCCGTCTTTAACTAAGAAGAGTGACCTGATTAAATCTTGGGTCTCAAGTAAAAAAATAGGTAGGATTCAAACCCGATTGCCACCGACTTTCCCAACTACGATGAACAGGTTCACTCCTTTAATGTCATATGATGTGCCTCTAGCCTCTCCAAGTTGTAAGACTGATAATATTAAGAACACGTCAGACCAACATCTGAACATGCCACAAATAATTATTATCCAAGAGCTAGGTGCACTGCCCAACCACCTAATCCTAGAACTATTAGGGAAAGTGGAAATGGAAGATTTTTCACCCCTCACCCTATCCTAAAGACCCGGGCTTTTATTCGCAAAAACGCTGAGAATGTAAACTCTATGCATCCTGCTCTACCAAGCCAGCTGGTAAACATGACCCCCAAATTTAGAAAAGGCCATAGCAACTGGCACTTGTATATGGCTAACCCTCCCCAAGTTAAAACCATTCCGTATAAATTTAGCCTTAGTAACGAGCTGTGTCATCAAGACATCACTAGAAACGGTGGTGAACTGCAATGCCAGCCGAATCAAAATTTTTTCGGGATACAGCAACTTGTGGTACCTCTTGCGCGACATATAGCTCAAGTCATTTCATACCACACACTGAACATAAAAACACTCTCCTCGTACAATCTCAAACAGACAACATTCTCCCCATTTCCTCCGGGCTAACAACCCCTCCTGTAAATTTCAGTAATTTACTTAACATGTCCCCCCTAACTCCTCATACCACACTCACGTAGGCCATAGTAACTACTTTACTCAAGATACCCTAAACTAATTTAGCTTAGCGGGACATCTGTTTAATATATGTCTTATTAATGCCCGTTCAATCTGTAATAAAAAGACAGATCTAGTCATGTTTGCTACTATCTGCCAACCATCACTTATTATGATAACTGAGGCATGGACCTGTAGTAATATTGTGGTGCTGTGGTGCGAACTACTTATAAGTAGTATATAACGTGAGTGTCAACGTCAAGTCTGGTAGCATAATAT